TTTTTGTTGAATGAACATATTAATAAAATTCTTAAGCAAATATTCAATTACAACAAGATCTTTCCTTTCAATAAAGAAAGTATTTCTCCCAATTGAATCTTCATGAGACACTTCCTTCTCAGAATAAGTGATCAGACATTCCTGAGTTTGGGGCCAGTGTGTGATTTATCCTCTTGAACTCAGAGTTAGGTTGAGTTCAGAGGAATTGATTGTCTCAACCTGATACATATTTCCACAGCAATAAGCCCCAAGGAGATCTTTAAATCTAATTCCAAACTATGTTTCTTAAAATCTTTAATTGGTTTATCTTCAGATGTTTAAAATACTTGCATACCTTCAGATGCAGAAGAATGACAGTATCTGTAAAAATGAGACAATAGCAAATGGCAAAACCTAAGAAAACATTTAGCCCTGAGTCCAGATCAGTGTTGAAGATTAGTATGGTCACTACTGCTATTAGTTCTTATTGCTTCTGTAGCTATTCCACTTTACAGCAAAGAAATAACTCATATACTGATCATTGGTTGCCCTCTCTTAATGTGCCATCCCTAAGAAATTTACTAGCATATATTTACTTTTCAATAGCATGGTTTTAAGGGTGTTCTGTTTGAACAATTGGTAGAGAAGTTTTAACCCTCTATCTCCCTCGAAAAATGGTTTTGTAGCTTTCTTTTTTTCTCCTTAAGGCTAGAACACATTAAATGAAAATCATATGTAGGAACTTACAATACATAAAACAAGGAAGATGGGAGCTGGTCTACTAGAAGCTAAGGTGACAAAAGCCTAGCCCACATGGGGACTTTCCTTTTATTCTCCATGTCTATTCCTCCAACCATTGAAACCCATTTCTACTGATCTAGGGAATAAAACTCTGATTGACTGCAAGAGCAAGAGGGATTAGTGTTTACTGTCTTTTGAGATTTACCTTTAAGTCCTTTGTTTTCTTTCTTTTCTGCTTTGTTCCTACATTTCCTTCAGCATTTTATTGTCTTAAACTTGCTAGAGCCCTAATCCTAAAACCCCCAAATCCTAGGATTTACAACAAACATTGGCATAGGCTCACAATAAATTTAAATAAATTTAATTTACACAAATTTAAATAAAGACCCTGAAATTCTAGAGCATGGGTTAGTACCTAAAAATGAATCTTTCCCCTTCGTTTGCCCTTCTCTCACTTTCCTGGATATATCCAATTGTTTGGTGGGGAGACATTTTTTCCCTTCCTCCTTACTTTTGTTGTCTTAAAATGGGTTCATGCCAACACCCCCTCACCAAACATAGTATTAGGTAGATAACCTTACTGCACTGAGCAGTAAGGCACTGCTTTGACCAACTTCTCTCCGGAAACTTCAACTAAAAATGCACAAATTCAGATATTGATGATGCACTCCATGTCAGCATACCTAACATTTGACTGAACCCCAAGTCTGCTGTATTTTTACACTTCAAGAATTGAAGGTTGATTTCTGACTCAATTACATGGGAGCTTTTTGTTTGTTTGTTGTTTTGTTTTCTCCAAGAGATCTCAATATCTCCAAGATTCACTGATTAAATCCCATTCGTTTTCCATTGCTGGGGTGAGAATAGCATTCCTCAAGCTTATTATCCAAATCTCTGCTGGTTCACATATTACCACTTTCTAGTTATGTGACTCTCTGTAATTTACCTTTGAAGGTGGATTAAATGTATGCTAGGCTTAAAAGGCATACACCCCTGGTACATAGTAACTGTCAAGTAGCTATTAATAATTATTATTTTGCTGATTGTTCTCTAATATAGCAGCTAACTTCTCAACTGCAGTCTACAGATGACTAGGAAACTCTTTACACATCTGGGAGTTTTCAAGATATCTAACGTTTCAAAATTAATAGAAATTCAATTTTTACCCAAGATAGAGGTGATTGAAATATCATATTTATTTTCTTTCTTGGTCAGCTTATCATAATGTGACTTGAATATCTTTGACTGATTTAATTTCCTAAATACGTGAAATGTATAATTATTTTTACCTAATAAAGTATACGAATCACCATTAATAAGTACAGTTCATGGTCAAGATTACATAGCCTAGTTCATAGAAACAAATAACTAAGTTATTTATTTGTAGGTGATTTATGTTGTAAAGCTCAACAGTCCTCTTCTTGTAATATTTGAAGCCCACAGGAAACTAGGAAACAATCTTTATGCTAATCACATGGCACAGAGATTCCAAAAAGATGAGCCTTGCAAATTGCTTGAGTATATTAAAATGTCTCAGTACATACGCTTACACAATACAATTTTATTTCATCTTAATTTTAAAACTCTATCATCTATTGGCATTTTAGGATGTAATGATGACAGGAACTCAACCGATAAATATGGGGCACAAAATTCCTTATTCTCTGACATACGTTTGGCATGCTTAAGTGAACCACATTGCCAATTTGATTTTTTGCCAACAACTTAAATTGATTCTATTATCCCTCTATTCTCATTTTATTGAAGATATAATGTTGTAAGGAGAATACTTATTGTGAGAATTTTATTCATTAAAATTTTCAGTTCCTCAGATGGTACAAGAAAATTATATATTAGTAGAACTGAATGGAAGACCAGATCATCCAGTTTAATCTCCTCATTACAGATGAGAACGCTGAAGCCCCAAGAGTGGGAAGGATATGCCGAATAGGAAACAACTAAGTAACAAAGTTCTCCTAACTGTTAAGTAAAGCTCTTTTAATCCTCCAGTATGGTTAAAAAAAAAAAAACCATTAAAATAGCCGGGCGTTGGTAGTGCATGCCTTTAATCCCAGCACTTGGGAGGCAGAGGCAGGTGTATCTCTGTGAGTTGGAGGCCAGCCTTATCTCCAGAGCGAGTGACAGAATAGGCTCCAAAGCTACACAGAGAAACCCTGTCTCAAAAAACAAAACAAAACCATTAAACTAACAGATTGCTCAGCCATGGGGCTTCATCAGCTACACTGTGATGAAAACTACTGCTGGCTGTCAGCTTTGCACCAGACACTTTATGCATAGGCTCTCCTTGATGTGGCCAAGTGCACTGTCCTCAAATGGAAACACCAGCATCTAGCTGGAAGGGTCTAAAAAAAATAACCCAAAACTCACAATTTCTCCCTTTTCCTCACAAGTCAGTTTAATTATCACCATTCTCCACCAGATTTTGATGTTTCCTACTAAGAGCCAATTACTAAGAGCCAATGTCCACCAATGCTGTAAATGGTTGCCAGGGCAACAACATGGTAAAATTA